GTAGGTATATTACTTTAAAGTCCTACTCAGGCTTATTCATGTATTGGCTGGGTGCTGGCAGTATTACCATAAAACACAACATAAAATATTAATTTGTAAAACAGTTTGCAATTATCCCTATATAAAAGGCTGATCAGAAGGATCAGAAATGTGAGTCTAAACACAAGTATGTCTACCTTGACTAGCTTACCCAAGCTAGCTTGAATCCAGCTAACATGGGTAACAATAGCAATAAAAATGGGACCATGAGCACTTGAGGGCAGGCTACCAAGTGGAATACATATCCAGGGACCACACCAAGCTTATACTACCCCTGCTGCTGTCTCTTCACTGCTATTGTTATCTGCATTCACTGGACTAAAGCCAGTTTGAGTAAGCTAGCCCATGCAGAGCTTTTACTATGTAGACATACTCTCAGACCAGTTTGGAGTGTGGCAGGGGAAAGCAACAGACTCAAACTGTAAAGAAGTGTAGTGGCCAGTTTTGGTCAAGCAAGCAGAACTTACAGCCTCCGAAAGGGAGCAACAGAACTGTGAAACAGAGCCTTTGTGCACAGGGGAGAAAGAGACAAAATGGAAGCACTCTGCTCTGGGACACGATATGCAGCAGAAACTCAAGAGGATGTGTAGCCAACTCTGCAGCCTCTGAAACCATTCAGCTCCTGTAAACACCCCCACTACAGAAGAGGCCCCCTCATCTATGATCCAATTCAGCAACCGACCATCAACCGTTCTCCCACTGCTCCAGCATGAGTCCCACCAGCAACCCCAACCCACCTGAGGTCTCTTGTTCTAATGCACAATCCACAATCGTTTGTAGAAAATGGTGGGTTATGGGACGATTGACTTTTATGGGTCATGGACCAACCAATCAAAAAAAAAAAAAAAGTAGAACCACTATATCTGAACCACTAGCTTTAGGTAAAAGTTTTATTCTTATTTTAAAGCTGTTTCATCCATCCCTACAGAGCAAATGGCTACCTTCAACATATTATGATGTAAATACATTTACAGCAGAAACCCAAGGTGAGCTGCCTGTATATCAGAAGACACCTCAGATGGCTCTGATGTTTGAACAGAGATTATTTGTGGGTAAGCCTACATTTAGGTCCCAGAGGTCATGGAATCAGTGACTTTCAGAGACCCCCCCCCATGACATTTTCTGCTTCAGCCCTTGGGGCCACGGGTCTGGAGCTGGCAGCTAGCGGAGCCCCAGCAGGGTTCCAGCGACGGTTGACAGCCTCCTCAGGGTTCCAGCAATGGGTGACAGCCTCATGGGGGCTGGGGGAACCCCACAGCTCCCAGACATTATGGTGGCAGGAGAAACCATGGAGCTGCAGCAGCAAAAAAGGTCACAGACAGGTCACAGCTTCTATGAATTTTTGTTTATTGCCCATAACCTGACTTTTACTAAAAATAACCATGACAAAATCTTAGCCTTATTTCTGGGTATGACAAAATGTGCAGGCGTATGCCCAGCACTCAGATGAAAACAGGCTGACCATAAAACTCCGAAGTCCGCAAGGCCCATGCAAGAGGAACAGAATGGCTGTTGGGTCCATTACACAGTGCCTCAACATTTGATAATACAGATTATTCATGGAATTTGCGTAAAGGGTCATTTAGTCTCTCTCTCTGCCAGCATTGGGTTGCTCCCAAAGAACACAGTGCTTTGGCCCAGCCTAGTTTTACATATCTCTAGTGATAAGACTTGCACCATTTTCTTTGCAAAATTAATCCAAAGAAGAGATTTTTCTTGATGCTCTCAGCCTAAATATATCTTTTCTTATTGGTTTCCCTTAATTCCTTGTACCATCCTACATTATTCTCCTCGTCATACAAATAAAGGAATGGCTACACTGGATCAGACGTTGGTCTATCTAGCCTAGTACCCCATTCTGATGATTGCTAGTACCTGCTGTTTCAGAGGAAGAAATCCTGCAGTAGGCAGTTAGGGAATAATCAGTGCCCAGGATGAGGATTAGTAATTTATATTCGGAATCTCCCCAGTCCCCCATCCAAATAAAGTGCTAAGTACGTTCGTTTCCATTAACTCACAATACTTACAAGAGCAGACTTCCATATGTTTAACTTAAGAAAATATTTGGTGGGGAAAGAAGTTATATAGAGAATTGTTTATTTTACCACTTTTTTAAATCTACAAAAAGTTGTTCAGTGTCATACTAGCACAAAAAACGTTTTAATTCGTTTATTAAAATAAAACTACAGTATGTCTCTGTGCTTCTTACGACAGATACAATGTTACATGTAACATTAGCAGTTTCAAAGTACTACAGGCAGGACTCACAAATACAGACACACCGTAGCTATATTTTACAGCATCTTACAAGAGAAACAAGGTGGGTGAGGTAATATCTTTTATTGGACCAACTTCTGTTGGTGAGAGAGACACGCTTTCGAGCTACACAGAGCTCTTCTTCAGTCTGGGAAAAGTACTCAGTGTCACAGCTAAATACAAGATTGAACAGACAAGTTAGCACAAGCAGTTAGCACATATTCTAATCATTCAAGGTAAAGTGGCCAGTTAACACCCCTCTAGTCATAAGACAAAAAGGGGGGGTTATTGGGTTACGGGTTGTTGTAATTAACCATAAATCTAGTATATTTATTAAGACAATGATTTGTAGTGTCTACACTACACCAACAGAATTTGGTCCAGTAAAAGAAATTACCTCACCCAATTTCTCTAAGATCCCGGAACCGACACTGCGTAGCATCTTCCAAGATCATTTTAGTTTTAAATGGTATGATTCTGACACTCCTTTACAGAGCAGGCAGTTAGTTAATGCTCAAATGCACTTTTGAGCTAAAGATATTAGAATAATGCCCATACTATCAAAGATAAGGGATGTAGGCTTAATATGCAGTCACTGGTAGGATTCAATATGCTAATAAACATACAGCTCCTGAAAAAAAAAAGGGGGGGTGGACAGGGGGGAGCTCTACACCCAACAAATAAAGTTCACAGGACATTATGTGGGAAGATTTCTTATCATGTTTATACTTTATTGATAGACCCTAATCCTGCAAAGACTTAAGCACCTGAGTAACTATGATCATGTGAGTAAAGTGATTTGTGTGAGTAAGTCTTTAAAGTATTGTGCCATTTCAGGTCCAAATGCTTATTTATATTGATAAAAAATGATGAACTCTGAATCCGTTCTATACATCAGCCAAGGAGGCTTGAGAGTTTAAAGACTCTAGAGGCCCAAATCCAGTGTAAAAATTTTGTAGTGTTACGACCAGTCAAGTTTTTAATCTATGCACTATATTCAGGGAAAAGCATAACCACTGCATGCCCTAACTACACATGCCTATAGACATACGTATACATGTACGCTGCAGAAAGCAAAAACTTCCTGTGTCAGCAAATACATATGCTGAGGTTTTCAAATTGCAGCTTTTTACAGGTTTTAAAAGCATATTTTCCCCTCTGTTTACTGTAGGTATTAATGTTTATTCACAGACATGTTATCTAACGCACTCAGCACTTTATACGAACTGGAATTTTAATAATCTAATGCAGAAATCATCTTTAATTGTGACACCTAGCAGTTACGTTCTGGTGACCATGCTGGTCCCTACACTCCATATCTATCTAAATTAAGCAGAACATTTTCATTAAAATTAGTCAAGTTTCAACTGCTTCATATTGCTTTTTTTTTTCATTTAGTTAGCACACAGTCTTCAGTATAGAATATACTTCAGATTTACTGAAGTGCAGTAAACTGTGAGAAGTTATTTATTTATAAGCACCTCGTCTGTTTGACCTTAAATGGAAGCCAACAGCAATCTTAACAATTGCTAAGCAGAGACTATATCTAGTTAACAAATAGTGCATATTAACTAGGGTGAGATGAACCTGTACTTTAAGCAGCTGGTCAACTTTCCTAGGATGGCGTATATTTCAGCCACTATCCTGACGAACAAAACAGACGTACATAAAAACAAAAGCAATTTTATGGTCAGCTTTTATCTCTAAATCAATGTAACTCTGGTTCAGAATTTCTTCTTTTAAATGTTTTAAAGCACTGTTTAGTGACAGAAAACATGCATAATAGTTCCTGTCACAAAAAAGAAGCGATAATACTAACAAACCATACTCTGAAATTTTCACTATTAATAGCATTTAATCAGTAGATGTATAGAACTTTTTTATTAACAAATGTGCAGTAAAAACAAGTTACTCCTAAAGCAGACTCAAACTGCATGCAGCAGTTCTATGCTGGAGTACTGTGCAATGCCTCTGTCATTCAAGTGAGCTTTTCCCATTATTACAAACGATTACATTAAATCACAAATTTTGTAACCATAGTGCTTGTTTTACCTGCAAGGACAGGATGGAGGAGTTAAGTGAAACACTACACTGATTGAAATGTTTGATTTCTCACGTGAAAAAAAAGCAATCCAAATGAGAACACACATTTCACCAACAAACCAGCTCCACCTCCCATAGATTTATTGCTTCAGCTAGTATCAGCTGAGTGAGACTGCACTACAGGATTAGGGCTTGTAGTCCGACCTGCACCCATGGGGAATCAAACTGAAGTCCGCGGGGCCCCACATGGACACAGAGGGCCAATCCTAAGGATAAGGTTGCAAAATCAGGGCCCCCCACCCTTTTTTTTTTGGTTAAGATAGAACCCCCAATATTAATTTAAAACTCCCAATTGGAACAAAACCAAAAATAAAACATTACGACATTTTTCTGTTTCCAGAGGTCAAAGCAATTTAAAACTGCTCACTTTATAACTCAGCAGGAAAAAACAGAATGGGAACATACTTTTCTTCAGTTTAAAAGGAATTAGAGAGTTCAGTTCTACAAGATTGCAGTGTTATTGCGGAAAATTTCAGAGACAAAATTAAAGTAACTTTACAAAATAAAATGCCAACCAACAGGTAACAGCACTGGGGGAAAAAACCTTCTGGTTTGCCAGCTACCCTTAAATTATATGTTTAAAACAAAAGACTGTCACTGTATTAGCTAAACAACTCTTTTTTATTAGATACAAAATGTAAGTGGTTAGAATACATTCATGTTTTAGGCAAATTAATTCCCTATTTCTATTAGGGGTAAGGGATAGCAAGCCCTAGTAAAACTGTGCTATCACATACTACCATGACAACAGCGTTTAGTACAATTTACCATTGCATTATGCAGTCCCGATAGCACTAGTTTGCTACTCAATTGATTGTTATTCTCATTAAGATTTTGGCATTCATTCTAGATGCTAACAATTATGAAAAACTATGGCTTTTTCCATAAAGTATGCACTGTCCATGCATATCTTTATAAACCATTTATTTTAAACAATAAACCGGATAGGAATGAGATGACAAATTTTCTGAAGTAACAGCCTTCACGTTACTTTTTTTGTCACAAGCAGTGTTTTTCCTCTAAATTCAAGATCTCAGGGCTAGCTATAAATCACTAATATCTGCATTTGTGCACCTGTCACAGTCATTAGTCTTTAAAAGTAATTATGTAAAATGTAACTCTGATAAAATGTCAGTTTTCATTTTAATTCTAGTTTTAATATTTTTTTTGCTGCAAACACGACTGATCGCTTGCATCCAAAGTGTTACCTGTTGTATTACTGTATTATCACAGCATTGGGACCATCAGAAATCCACAAATGCATACATAAGAAGGCACTGTCTTCCAGTGGTTCAAGTCAGATAAGACCTTACCAAACAAACAAGGGCACCTTATACTCTGAAGGACTAGGAAATGCCCTCATGTTTTGAACCAAATCGCAGAACCTGGTTTCATCTCCCTGGCAAAAGGTAGTAAACGTGGTCTACAGTACAATGAAACTCAGGATGAATTCCAGTAGTTTTTGCCGGTTGCGGTGAGGTAGAAAAGTACTGCTCAGTTCCAAAAAAGTCTCTTTCTTTTGTTTTGTCTCCTTGAAAACCTAAAGGGAAGGATGAAGACATGCCTCTTCATTAACAATTTCAAGCAGAGTTACTTATTTGTAATGAATAATGTACAGCAGTTTATGATCTATTCTAATTAAGACCCTGGGCCTAGCATAAACATTCAAGCATTGAAATCATGTGGTCGTTGAAAATTATAACAGGTGGGAGACAAAAGGCTAGAGTTAGTCATCTCTAAAATCCCTTCTTCACTCTAGTACACCATACACCATAAGGATATTATTCCATACAAACCCTGAAGAGAATTCTGTTTGCTGTGATTTCATGCATGTGATAAAGAACAAAAGACTGCTTACTAGAACCGATTGTAAAGATTTTTTTCTTTCTTTCTAGCACCATCATGGATGACAGAAATCTTAAGAATCTTTTAGATATCTTAAAATCCCAACAATACCTTGATTCTTAAGTAGCATGGAGGAGGAAAGAGTGATTATTCCAGAGATACAAGCTGTAATTTAGAAGAGAGGTCTGAAAAGACCAATCTTTTTGGGGGAGATTCTTTACAAGCTTATTCTTTAGCGTAGAAACATTAACATTTGTTAATGAAAACAGAAGCATTCAAAATGATGAGATGATTCAACAGAAAATGACAAATGGTCAGCTTTTAGTTAACACAACAGGACTACTTGTATCCATCTGCATACATCATATGTATGAAAAACTACATGAAAAAGTATGCTGTGTATGATAATCAGACAAATAGTAAGAGGAAACAATGTGATTCAAGAAAAGAAAACTCAAACCGTGCAATGTTTAGTTTCAAAAACAAGAATCAGAATTAATTATTACGAGCAGATGCAAGTAACAGATGTCAGCTAGTTCCACTACCCTAGCAGCACGGTATATTAGAATAAATATGCTGTATTTGATCAAAGCATTCATAAGGCAGCATCCCAAAGCGCATTTAACAAACTGCAGAAATTTGCCTTCATTCTAATAGTCAGCTTAGTACTTAGGAAGTCATGGCCAAAGAACTGAAAGGCATTCAGTAACCCCTATCCAGAAACAGTCTTTGCTTTGTACCTTTCGACATAAAAGAGGCAATATTCAGTATGATCTTAACGTCATCCAGCTTTAAGAAAAATTGAGAGGTGCAATAAAAAAAAAAAAAAAAAAACCCAGTCAAGGTGTTAGTGACAGTATGGAAAGCCCAGCTCCATCCAGCTACATCAGGGAGCAGCACATCTATCTCCATGGTATCTCCTTGCATTTCAGGTTCACTGGGACACTGCTGCTATGACTGTCTGGCATACAGGAATGGCAGAAGAGCTCTCTCGGTCACTGTGACGGCCCTGGAGAGGGTCAGCATCTGGCAGCGTCTTTCTGTGCGTTCAGGATTTGGATGGAATGTTAATTTTATGGCTGTTAGTGCAGGCAAAAGCTGCTGGAGGCCTTGGAGAGTGATGGAAAATAATGAGCCAAAATCTGATGACTAATATTTCTGTAAGTTTTTAATACTATGGGGAAGTGCTTAATTACTATCGTGCTATGTAGGTCAGTAAATAGACATACAAATAGACAGCTAGCCTTCCCTCCTTCCCCTGGAGCACACTGAGGAGTGGTAGCATCACAGTCCAATACAGAAGTACTCAACCTATAAAAAGAAAAAGTGGCTGGCATCCTGCCATACTGGTCAATTTCTCTTAGCAGTAGGAAATGCAAAAGCAGAAGTGCAACGTTACACTTCCTCTGCAGCCGTAAACTTCAAAGACAGGTACACACTTACAAAGCACAAGAGGAAGATATATGCAGAAGCATTTGCTTGAAAAACATTAGCAAAGGCTGATATTGCACAGCATTCATGCACTACCCAAAGTTTGCCTTTGAGTCACTCACGTTAAAAGGGCCCCAACAGTTTCAACTGAAGAGGAGAAAGCTTTGATTGCAAAACACTTACCCCAATATCTTTAAAGACCTTCACTGCATTTTTCACAAGACAATAGGTGGCACTCTCAGCTGCGAGGAGGGGGGGAAAAAAACACACGCATTTCAGGTCAAATATAAGACACTGGTACTAGGAAGAATGAGAGTTATACATCAATAACTGAAATATTGGCTCTGTTTTATCCAGAGCCAAGCTGCGTGACGTACCATACACTGCAACACTCTTCTCTGTCCTGGTTATTAGGTACTTGTGTAACTTATGAAGGTATTCTGTTTCTGACACAGGTCCACTGAAGTTGTGCATAAAGATGGCAGCTGAGCTGTAGGCTTCAAGTAAAGGTCCCAGTAACCTTTGCAGGAAGGTGATGTACTGCTGGTGTTCTTGGGATTGGTTCACCTAAGTTAAGGCAGCAGGAATGAAAGTGAATGAAGCTTGAAGAAGAAAGATGGCCAGCTACACAGTAAAAGCCAAAACACTGGATATGGACATTCACTCAGGAGAACAGGAGGAGGGGCACAAATTACAACAGTGCATTATTATAGCAAAGCCAAAAGTGGTCTGATGTATGAAAAACTGCTCCAGAAATCACTTACACTGTTAATGTCCTGGGGAAAAACTAGTCAAGCATCTGTTTTCACCACTTTAAAAGGTCATGTTGCTTTGCAATAAATAGCACAATCACAGTTCATTCCTTCACAGAGATAAGCAGTTTCCAAATGAATATTCAAAAAAACCCAAAACAAGTGTCACCACTATAAAAACAAAGAAACCAAACAAACCAGCAACAAAACTCACAATTTGCTTTCCAAGAAGAAACAATATAACTGAATTTCTAGCAAGGAAACTATAGGCTGACCACAGAAGGGGACTATGCAGTAGCTTTTTGAATCAAGAAATCATATCTTCTGACATGTCTTGGGTCACAAATTAAAAACGTACACACATGCACAAATATAAAACACTGTACACATAAGAAACAGTACACCACATTTGAGTCAGAAAAATATGCACGAGCAGTATATGCCCACGTTTGGTACACTGTGTTATTAGTAATACAGTACAAACTTTAGAACCCTGTAGGATACTAAAGCCTGTAGTAGTTTTCACCATAATGGCCACTCCACCCCAGTTATGTAGACTTTGCCAGCAGGCTGTCTGAAGTTTCCTCACAGAGCTGGTCTTTTTTTTTTTTTTGGGGGGTGGAGGGTGTGAAGAGAGAGAAAGGACGATTTACTGATTGTAGCAGACTATTGCAGACTTTAATGCTGGGAATGATCAGAAAAATAAATCTTATTATTTTCCCCAACTGAACTTGTAAACTAAGATTTACTTAAACTTTAACATAATAGGCCTGACTATTGCTGTTAGCTTTATATACAGTACCTTCAGGTAGCAATCCCTCTGTTCTTCTCCAAAGTCACTGTCTTCATCCTCCTCATCACTTCTCCAAGACAAGGGTTCAGGAAGCTTTTTACCCCATTGCTGCTCTGTAAGGCTAGGGCTAATATCCTCCTGATCATCTTGCTTAAATCAGAAGTGGGGAGGGGAGAAAAAGGTAACTATTCAGAAAAACAAATCCAGGTGACAACCAGTGCTATATTTTAATCTCAGGTGACCTGATATCACCCCTTAGTGATTTACCAGTACTTTGCACACTGGGGCTCACAATGAGGATGTGCTGGCCGAGACCCAATCCACACAAGACTGAAGTAAGTGGATAGAAACAAATCAGAAGAATTGGTAAAGGTTGTTTCTTCTCCCTTGACTGGGAAAGTCTGCCCATCACATGAAAGAGAGGGGCTCAAGTTGGGGAGTCTTGCTGGATCCTCTCGAGAGAGAGGCACTTCAGTAGGCAGCAGATGTCAAGAGAACTTTTTCTTCACCTGTGTTTCACTAGAAGGTAGGACTTTTTTTGGATGTGGATTTCACTACAGTGATCTATAACTTTGTCAACCCAAGGATGGATTACTGAATGCGCTTTACATGCTGCTATACTTGAAGACCAATTGAAAATTTCAAGCTAGTACAGAATTCAGCAGCAAGTTTGTTAAGTGCTACTTACCTCTTGTAATCATGTGCTTGCTGCATTTGTCTCCATACTCTCTCTATACTGGTTGAAAATTCAAAGAGTTGGTTTTAATCTAAAATGCTCTAAATGATTTGTTCTGAATCCCTGAGATACCACTTCTCTCCTAGTGCTGCATCAGATCAGCTGAGCTACCTTAGTTAACAGCACTCAGTTTACTTTAGGAGGGGACTGCTGGCAATGCATTTACAGAGAAGTGTCCTTCACTCAAACTCACTTCTCCATTTGCAGTAAGAGGCTCTGAGTCTGACCATCAGAACATGATGCAAAATATATGCTTCCTCAGGCTTTCGAGAGGGGCATGTGTTAGCAAGAGTGTCAGTGAGGTGGTGTTTACTACGCCATCACGAATGGCTCAGGAGAGTTCATTGGTCTCTGGCTCATTTTCTTGTAAAATCTGTTAATGTTTGCAATATGCATATGTCCATGGGAAAGGATAGAGACATGGTTAGAAATCTAAAAGTGACGAAGAAAACACGCACACAAAAATTGTATATATGCTAAATCAGCTACCATAAGAAAGACACTGAAGTTTACAGGTAGCTAATTTCTGACAACATAGGTTTCATCTGGAAAACTCCATGTTCTACATGCTCTCATTTCCAGGCCTGTATCACTCCGAATGTCTTACATTTTCAGTAAGAGGAATGTACCATTCTCCAATGAGTATTTTATCTGCTCTGTGGAGGTCATCCTGGTTGAATAAGGGGGCTTATTTTTATATTCCTGTTATTTTTTTTCAAGTTCTCTTTTTAGCTGAACTGAACTGCAGTGGCTTAGGTTTCAACATATTGCACCCTTAACTAATTTTACTTAGTTGGGGATAGACAGCGTTTGGCTAGAGGTTGACTCTTGTGTGTGACAGACAGGGAAATATCTACCTTCAACAGGAAGGGCATTCAGTTTCTTTTCAGACTAGAATGAGAGAGGGAAGCAACAAAACCTGACCATGACACTAAGAGTCTATTATGCAACTGGGCTTGGCACTTTACAAAGACCTGTGAAAATTCTTAGGGGCTTGTGTGTGATCACTATAATATCAATATAATTAAGGAGACGACTATGGTCTTACGAAATGGATTAAAGGCATGAGAATGCGTTAAGGTCAGACCAAGTTAATGGGTACTTAAAGAGTTTCAAGGCAAGACTGGGGATGGTCAGGATCAGATAGCGTAGAAGTATCTGTAGGAGGAATTCATCTGGTATGCCGAGGAACCCATCTCACCAGAAAGGAATTCTACCAAGCTGACACTCCCTATGCAGGTGCGTAAGGGACTAACCTGCAACAGAGAAGCGACAAGCCTCTATACCTACTTAGACAATGATTTACTATTATCACATGGAGACTGAGATGTGTCAGAAATGCTCCACCTAACAGATCAATGTATGGAGGTAGGAGCCATTTTGGAGAAATGTTCCAAAAGGGACAAACTGTTGGTAAAAATATATCTTCAGAAGGATTATAAATCAGTCAGAGAGAGGGTTTATATTACAAAAGCTCCCTCAGATCTTGGTGAAAATAATCAAGGATGTGACTGCTTAGGAGTCTGAACATTGCTGTGTTAGATTCAAAGAAGGGACTTACAAAGAAGTCAAGTGGCAATCCTGTTCAGTAATCAGGCAGGTAGCACGGCTGACAAGATGAAGTGAAAATATGACTGACTCAGACGACCCACCCTTAACTAGGAAAGGGTATTAAAAAGGGGGACAGACACAAATGGACCTCTGACATCAGCTTTATTAGTCCGATGAACAAAATCACTGTAGTAGTAATATAGTAAATTAGAAATTACTTACATGTTCTCAGAAGCACGAAGCCCTAGAAATTTCAAGTAGATGCTCAAAAGTAAAAGGGGACTTGAGTCTCATTGACTCACAATCACACATAGGTAAGAAACATAGTAGAGAATTGCTTCAAGATCTCATGAATGTGAAGCAGCTGGACTAAGAGGCTACAAGAATTCTTATGCTGAGAGATGTGATTAAAATTAGATTAATCCTGTTCCCGCCTGGCAGGATTCAAACAATAGCATAACAGAGACCGAGTACAGAGTATTCATCTTCATGCCATCTATGAGAGAGACAGACGGGTCTTTGTAGAAAATGAAGTAATATCTGTCCAATCTTACTGTAATTGAGGGTTTTATTTTAAACCAAGTAACAAAGTCAGTGACAAAGGAAAAATTAAATGAAGAGATGCGATGTGTTAGGAGAGTTTCAGCTCATAACGTTCAATAGAGTGGACAGTGGAGTCAAAGGGAAAAAGAGAAACCATGAAAAGCTACGGATGGCAAAAGTTCAAACTAATATGACAGTCAGATAGACCTAAATGTACAGGTATCAGCTGTAAAGAAATAAACTGGAAAAAAAAATAAAAATAAAAACAAGGTGATGCAGACGCCACAGACAACTGACAGGCTTCTGTTGATCACAGATATGTTTCTCAGAGGTTAAGTTGGAAAAGTACCCAGAAAACATACCACAACTGTCCTAAACAGGGAAATGGTGATTATTCCCCACAGTTTGCCACTAATAATGTATACTTTTAAATTGTATTAAACATGAAGTCCCTAGTTTTTCTCTTTCGCCTAATATATAGAAGATATATATAATGGACTTGCTGTGTCTCTCAGGTAAAAAACAGACTAGATAGATAGTCCTCAGGATTACACAGAGAAATGAGTTAGAAGGATGCAAGGTGAAGCAAATGGGATTGATAGGATAGACAGCATCAAAGAAAAAGAAAAAAAGAGAAAATATTAGTATATACACAACTGACAAGAGCAGTGGTACAGCCTGGAGACAATACTTGAAATAAATCTTGCAGAAACTGATGGTGAGATTGTATTAGGAAAACTGTACAGAGAATCTTAGAAATTAGGAAATATTCCTGTTAGTCTGAACTGAATGGGCAAATGGACTAAGAGCAACCCAACCTAATAATTCTGATCATGGAAAGTACTTGAAAATGAGTAAGGTATCTAGAATTTCAGCTAAGGCAGTAACAGAATCATGCAAGCCTGTGCAGAAGAAATAGGAAATAACTGCAACAGTATCATTTGATTCCTTAGTATCAGAGAACAGGATGGTGTTCTGTTTGTCTGGCATTCAGATACCACACTGGAGGGGCCTAATATAAGAACCAAGACAGATCATGTCTTGGTACTTATGAGTGTCGTGACTGTAAGAAAGTTTTACACAGCAAATAGATATGTATAAAAACATGCTGAGAAATCAGATATCAGACAATCAAGTCAAGAGAAGACAGACAAGCTTTATATATGACCTGTAAGCCACTTCTATCCCACTTATTGATGGTAATGACAGATGGGAGACAGACAATATAGGTTCATAACAAAGCCCCTAAGACAAGACACATGCTTTGAGAGGCAAAGACATAACAGACATTTATGCCATTATACACACCTATTTTTTTCCTGGAGCCTGGAACATTAAGTAAATAAGAATAGGATTCAGAGGATAAGAAATGCTTCATGTAGAGACTGCATTGTAATACATGATTATATGCCAACATTTTATGTATAAATGTAGGTAACACATCCAGAGAACAAGAGAGTTTTAGAGCCAGGAAAATCTGTCTCCAGAGAACAGGTGAAGTGAATTCTACCTCTGTAACTACACATTAAAAGGGAAACTTGGGATACCACAAGAGGTGCAACGGAGTGGAGCTGAACAAGGGTCATCAAAGCACAGGATGTAGTTTCCCTTCAAACAGGAGAACTGAAAGAAGGAAGCAGCCAAGTATATGTAACTGTCTTATTTTTTCCACTACTTTAATTTATAATTGTCACGGAGCTGTGGTATGATTCTGACATGGAAAAAATGCAACATGATACATTAATCTTTTTACTCACTTATCAAAAAAAATTGTGTTATGAGATTCCCCGAAGGACACAAATCTGGAAGACAGAAATTACTGACTCCATTCTTAGTCCAGCCATGCTGCATTTGCTGCAGTGCTGTAGAATGTGGGAAGTAAAGATATCTTGACTTTGCAATTCCTGGATCCCTGAGACCACTAGGAGAACCGGGTGCACACTAGAGCTGTCTTAGGGCTGCATCACCTGTGGATTCCCATGTATTGGGGAATCCCCAGTTACCCCTGGTCCCTTTGAGCTGCTGTACCAGAGCAAAGGGACCATACAGGAGCTAAGGATGAGCTGTATTACACAGTGATTGAAATTTACAAGGACTTCAATATTAAAAGATAATCACCACAGCCCACTTTAAGAGCTGGTGTAATCATCATCATAAGCAGCACTAGCTTTATTAGGATCCTGCTCCCATATACGTTGTCATCCATAACATCAAAAAGTGATTCTGCCAGAATACCTTGTGCTTTAAAATAAAAGAATAAAGACATTTCAGTTTAGGATTGCCTTAATTGTTATGCACTTCAAGAGAAAAAGTGCCTGTTTAGATACTTGGAATAAGTCATATAGTTAGTGAGAAGCAAAGGATTCCAAGACTGCAGGCAAATCGGAGAACAAAAAAAAAAACAAACTAATCATCTTACCTCTGCCACCAAAAGAATGCCATATTGTATAAACCTTTCGACTGCCTCGTGGCAAACTTGGTATAACATCTGACAAGGCTTAACAAAAATAAAAAAAAGAAGTTAAAATTAATCTCTTATAGATTCTTTTTCCCTAGTCAACCAGCATATTTTTTTATATACAGCTATGTCCCTTTTAAGCAAGTTCCTCAATTCTTTATCAATGCTCCCACTCCATTAGTGCATGCTTTATTCTTCTCTTACACTCACGTACCCTTCAAAAAAATCCACGAATGGGATGATTAAAATTAGACTGGACAAAGCATTTGAGATATGGAGACTCTTTCACTGGCAAGGAGCTGGACCAGGTGACATAAAAGGACTTTTACATCTTATACTATTATTTTGTTAAAATGAATAAGTGCTAATCATTGAGCAGTTTGGAACAAAATCTTCATAAATATAAAAGCTGCAAGACCTATTCCACAAATTCTCCTATAGTTTAAAGAAACTCCTTGAAAAATCTTAGAATCAAAATTCCCCACCAGATTATAACCACTGAAAAGTAGGGCAACGTCCACCAGATTAAGAAAAACAAACAATCATTACCCTCAAAGGTAGAATAAGGAGTATAAATGTAATAATCAGCTCTCTTCCTCAAATTGCATTGCACCCAGACAAGAAATCAAACATAATTTATGCTCCATTCAAACAACAAGAAAGAAGAGGGGGCTGGGAAACTGCAGCAAAGTTTCCCAATATCAGAACTAAATCTATAAGAGGAGAACATGTATTTCTAAGATTCTAGGTGGACACTTATTAAAAAGAACAGGAGACACATTGTTTTTAAAAGATAATCAGTATTTATAAAGTTAAAACTGCGGTATTTGCCACTGTTCCTTTATTGGTTTACCGTAAGTCATGGGTAAAATCACTGATAAATATTTGATGATGTGCAATATGACTACTGAGGTAATCTATAAATTGGGAAAATGCCTTTAAAATCTGGAGACCCGATTTCAATTTGACTGCAGTCACACGTGCAAAGAGTTTGGTAGTCTTGACTTCACAGTTTAAGTTTGTTTAGATCAAAGTCACTGTATAGTTTGACAAGCAGTCTCTTCGCAGGAGAGGCCTAGTACTAGAATAGCAGAAATATTCCAAGCTCATTGCCAGTACTATCAGTTGCTCACTTGCATGGCCAACAGGTATTCACTACACACACAGCAAACATCTAAACCATATCATGAGCACCATGTTGATTGATGTCGTCTCCCCTGGCTCAGAAAATCTCAGCTAATGAATTCACTTGTCAAGCTCACATCATTCATGTTATTTGTCTAGAAATGGTTTCAAGTGAGCTAGACTAATTCAGCTACACAACTGAGAAGTAGAGACATTTTGCTGAAACAAATTAAAACAATGGTATTTCCCTCTTAGCATTGCTGGGGATGGGACATCCATGTAATGGATCATATACGTTTTATTTAAAGTAAATGTATTAAGACCAAACAACTACATTAGAAACAGAGTGCAGTTAAAAAAAAAATCCATTCTATTTAGAATAATGAAGACAGACACTAACAGAATGGAGTTGGAGTTATGGACAAGCACTATGATGAACTTCGCTTACCAAGGATATAGCGCCTTCATTGGAAAGCAGGTGGCACAAGCTGGCGGCTTTGCGGACCAGTTGTTCTTGGCTAATCATGTTGGGAGGAACGCTATTGATGCCATTTCTATACCTTTTACTCTGCACTGCATGAAGACTGCAGGCTAGCGTAGAAATGTGAATACAAGGGTGGTTAGTTTTCCTACAGAGTTTTTTAATATGGGAGACTTAGGTTTATTAACAGGAAAGTTATACAAGCTTAAAAACTGACAACCATTACACACATAACTGAAAACTATCAATTGACTAAAGCAAAATCATCCTATATACATGAACTACAATGGTGCACAACTGAAGGAAACATTTTAAAAGATAACAAAGCTACTAAACAATAAAAGATTATACCACTGTGTGTAAAAGTTAAATAATGATTCAGATCCAACCATTAACTAATCTTATTAAAATATTCCCAAGATAGGAACATCTACCATGCTGGATCAGATCACTGGTCCATAAAGTTAGGTCCCTGTTTCTGGCAGTGGCCAATACATGGAGACTGCCAAGGAGAATGAAAAAAACACAATGCATTCATTCAGCTATATGTTTAATGGTGAATATGGGGTAGAGGGCAGGTGGAATAATTTTCTGACCCTAGATAATTTAATTGTTTGGAAACTGGTTATTTCTGTGCAGATGGTTTTACTTCATGTATTACTTTTCGGGGGGAGAGGCCACGGGGGAACGATTAAAAGAAAAATAAAGCCTTCATACAAACAAATCTTCTGCTAAAAACCAGTACATACCAATAATGGCCTCTTTGATGAAGACATGCAGTACACCATTGCTGTAGAAGTTGAGTTCAAAGACAGCAGGAATAGTTGTGCTGGGAGTGATGAAGAACTCATTGTTTTGGCTGGTGTTTGTGATATTTACACAGTTCCCCAATAGGTGGATGGCATGCATGACAACATCTTCTGAATTTCCTGAAAATCCCAAGTCAAAGTCACGGGCCAAGACCTCCTCCTTCATAGAGAAGAAGTCTTCCACCAGCTTGGAAAGGTCAATTCCCTGAAGAACCAGAGTCACAAGATTAAATAACAAACTCTAACCCTAACCCAAGACAAAATGTTAAGAGGACAGGTTAAATTTATCTGTAATCTCCAAACACAGTAAATAAATCAAATGCATAATAAATTTGTAATAATCCAAAGCACAACTTATCACATGAACAAATCTTTTCTTCGAAAGCAGACTTTACCAAAGTAATCCATGACTGTGCTCCAATTGGACGGCTACAAAATGCTTTACATGGGGCTACACCTTAAAACCACCCAGAAACTACAGCTAGTGCAAGATGTGACTGCTTTGTTTGTTTAGTAGTGCATCTCACAGGCTATAAAGCCCTAGGAGGGTCAGAACCAGTGTTCCTTAGAGATCACATCTCCCTCACCTGCCATTGTGTCATATGATCACCTGAGATATTTTTGCTAACAGACCTTTTTTTTTAATTGATAGGAGGCTTGAGGAAGAACATTTTCTCAACTCTGGAACTTACTTCCTTTCTCAGTTTACCAAAAGCCATATTTGCTGAGCTTCAGATCCTGTTGCAAAGCACATCTGTTTTCCCAGATTCTCTCTATAGGAAAGGGGAACGATTGGATTGAACTGGAAAGTGATAATACCCTAGTTTTGGGGGGAGTCTATATTTTGACCTTTTCTTCTAATTTGTATGTTTTATTTTAGTTTCTGAACATGTACCTAGAGCTCTGGATTGGTGGGGTGGTGAGGAATTTTAAATAAAATGGAAAAGAGAGAGTGTAGCAATGAATAATTGTATCTTTCTTTAGGAGCCACACATTAAAATTCAGTTACACATTAGTATCATTCCATCATAAAATATAAATTGAAAACAAACATAATAGTTCAGCAATTTGTCCAGCTACAACGATTTGAAATAACAGATTTTAAACAAAAAAAACAAAAAACAAAACAAAAAACAAAACAAAAAACAAAACAAAGCACCACCCATTAACAATAAAAAGGAACAAAATTATTGCTTTTTAGAATCACAGATAAATCCTAAAATTAACATGGGATGACAGGGTTTTTTGTTAAATTTTTAGGAAAAGGTTCCTTTTTCTTCAATGATAACTAGGATTGGAAACCTACAAAATGCTTTTAAAAACCATCAATATTATCTGTCAAAATTATAAAAAAAAATAAAAATTGAATTCTGCCAAGCCTAATGATAACTGAAATCAAAGTAGCACAATATCTTTAAGTACCCACCATTAACTGGAACACCCATTATAATAAGCTAGCTGAAATCTCTCAAATTATTTTAATGTAATATTGAAGTGCACACTTTTCTCACCACTGGATAGCATATGGCTATTTCAGAAGCAATATAGCCTTACCTTCCTATGTCGGTAGAGCAGCAAACAGGCAACTATGTGTGTTGACATCACAGCACATGACTTGTTAGCAGCTAGAAGCAAACAAAACAAAGCTATGTTGACCTGTTAAGCATCTGAAATGCTTAACAAGTCATTAGTATGGCATAAAATGACAGATAGCATGAATCAACTAATAATTATAGATGGCCCTTACACATTTCTATAGGGCTTTACATTTTCAACAAGCTGTAATGTACTTTAAGGGACTAATCAAAGAGCAACAAGCCAGAGGAACTCTAGAGTTCCAGCCTACTCTGTCACTAACTTGCCATGCAGCCTTTGGCAAATCACCCCAACTCTCAGAACCTCATTTTCTTCATGTGTAACATGGGGTGATTACACATACCTAGCTAGGAAAGGGGCTGAGATGATTACTCAACATTTTTGTAGTACTTTAGAAATGTAAAACATTAACTGACCAAAGTGGTTTTAATTAATAAGCATGAGTGAAGAAGTCTGTCTCAAACATTTGCTAAAATATATAACTAAGTACCATTATTTATAGCTATGTCTTTGTTCACGTATCTGACCTGGTGTCCAAACTGCATATTATAGAACCTACAAAGCCGGACAATGGTTGGATAAGCAGATACACAAACTCAAGTAATTCTTTAAAGACATGGTGATTTCAACAGCTCTACCTCTGGGGGCAATTTCCTACTTCTTGCCAAAAGGAATGTAAATGCACAACAGTTGACTCAAACACTTATAGCAAGTCAGCAGCAACCCAGGATACAGGCCTAAAGAACGTAAATGTATCAGAGCAAATGAAATAAGAATGCCGTAGAGAGACAATTTCATTTAAAAAGGGATGAGATTTTAAGTGTTTAAGTAAACAAAATTCTTACCTGAAAAGAAATCACCCTCAGCCAAGTAAAAATGCTATCAAATGGTAAATTAGTAAATGCAGTCAGAGGACCAAGATATACAGTCAATACATATGATTGATTCTATACTTACTGAACAATATATGCTCAGCCAAGTTGGCTATCAACTGTCTTCTAAAGGGCTCACTGGATAAATCCCTGGAATCACCCAGCGCAGCCTCTGTACCTTCATCCACAACATCATTAGGCCTGAAGATAGCATACAAATAATTTATGGTGTGAAAACATCCAAGTCTTGTCAAATTCTAACCTACATCATCATCATTTACAAACATTAAATGAACTATAATGCCCAAATAAAATCAGACATTCTAACAAGGATACAAAAATGTCTTTAAGCATTACAAGTCCCACAAAGTTCTCATTAACTACTTTTCTCAACATATTCCAGACTCTTTCTTCATGTTATAACACATATTCCTAGACCTTCTAAGAAAAGCAACATAGAGTATTCACTTTGTTCTTTGGCTATTCAGACTTCTCCATTACATCAGACATGTCCCACAATCCCTTCCTTTAATGAATTTGAGCAACAACAAACATATTATGCAAACCTTTTTAGAAGAGAGTTTTCAGTCCAGCTGTTTTGCATATCAAAACAAGGGTATGGCATGGCATGACAATGCTTTAAAGACAAATGACTTACTCAACTTCTCTTTACAGGAACCAAGTATCAGAGTAGCCAAGTAGTACCACACAGGCTTAAACAAGCCATGAAAATTACTAAAAATTAAATATAAAATAGTCTAAAATTCAGGAATATCTCCACAACACAGTTTTACATTTTGAGCAAAGTTATTAACAGACGGGAGCTCACTGACAACAGCCCTGGCAATCATTGTATAGTGCTGAATCAGAAATCATTAGTGAGTGAATGAATACATGCCTTTCATCTTAGAGTAATTAGAAATAATATCTAGATTATGTGGGAGATTTTAAAAAAGATATGTTTCAAAATGTGTCATTTTCTTTCCTTGTACAACAGTCCTATAGAATTTAAAATTTATTAAACCAATAAAGTTCACTTAATTATTCTAAAACTACACAGAATTTAACAGAGAATGATAACATTCCCATAGTTTATTTGAACAGGAGTTCTACAGCAGGAATATATTCTTCAATTTATTAGAATTGTATAGGATAGTTTAAAAATCCTAGAGTAAAATTTTCATGTTTGTGTTCTATTTTATAGGATTTTTCCATAAGGGTTACATGGGAAACAGTTTAATTATTCGTAGGATATAACTACCAGGCACTACTTGAAATATACATTAATCCAAAAATACTACCAAAAAGGTTCCAGAAAAACATCCTACCGTGAAGGAAGTATAGCTGGTAAGAGAGCTTGCTCCAAAGATAGCATGGCAGGCATAGGTTTTTGACTTTGGCTGTCTAGGTATTCCTGTAAATATAATACTTATTTGTACATTTTTCCATTAATTGTAACATCTAACAGCAAATTTTGCAATCTTATTTGTACAAATCCAAAAAAAAAAAAAAAAAAGCAACCATGAAATAGTAAGTACAAAAAAATAGAGGCGAGATTGTGTGAAGATCACTACAGTTTCTTCACTGGTGCATTGGTGGTTCTGTCTGGAGTTAGCATCAGGTAGAGGAGAAGCTTTCTCTCTAAACAGAATTGTTAGTTTGGGGAAAATACTGCAATTTAAAAAAAAAAAACCCAAGGGAAAGATTCCCCTGCACCACTTTGGCAGAAACTCCCTTGGGGATAGATCCTGCACCATTCAAGTGAATGGGAGGTTTCCCATTGATTTGAATGGGAGCAATATCAAGTCCCCAGTGGAGGAGCAGCATATGGATGACATTAATGGTCTTATACTGCCTCCTCACCGACTCTAGCATTCAGGGCATCTCCACAGATGAACACCACTACAGAAATTCTGGCAGTGACAAACTTCAGGCAACCATGGGGAGACTGTTGTAAATTACACTTCCCAGAACGTAGGCAGCAGGAAGGTGTCTAAAACCACCTTTGCCCCCCATCCTCTCAGCTGTATCTTCTGTGCTGTGTTTCTCAGGAGGTACAGCACATGACTGGACCTCAAGAATTCTATGCTTTTAACAAACAACTAAAACTTCTGTCTTTAAAGGTTACCACTTAAGTTACTCTGTCTTCAGGATATTATGTTCTTCTGGTTCCTATAATAAAGACTGTTTCCGCAGTCCATATACCCACTCTGCCTGCTGGTCAGGAAAACATTTACCTTCAAGCAAAGCTACTTAAATAATTAGGGGTAAATTTTCAAAGACAGCTCTCTACTCAGCTTGCACCGCTTGTTCACAAATGCCTTACAGCAGTATATGTATATTACATCAACATTATTTCCATTATCAAACTCAATCTCAGCTAAAAGATATTAAATTAATTTGACTGTGTCTACTTTCTATAAACCCAGGTTGACTGGCAATTTTGTTTGGGTTGCCAAAATTAGCTTTGTTTTTCAAACTGAAATTCTGTACATTTTAATACATATTGCTGAGTAAGACTTAAAGATAAAAAACTATTTGACAGTCAACTACTGTACAGGAAATATATTTCCCCATTTTTTTGTACAGCAATACACAATTGATCAGATGCATCATGGGGAATTTTTACTTTCCTCTATTATTGATCACTCATGGAAGAAAAATACTGGCTTTATGTCCAATGACTCAGTCTGGTCTGACATTATGTTATAACACTTGTACCTGTACTGGACTTCATACCATGGACCAACACCCTATGAATCTTCTCAGGGGTATCAAATAGTGAATTTTTGGAAAAACAGCTTCATTGCATTGATAGGCTGAAAACAATACTTCTGCACCAACAGTTTAGCTTGTGGTTTCCCGCATTTTAAAGCGGCTAAGAATTCATAAGAACTTAAGTGTTTCTATGAATATGAAACTTACTTTTAAGGAAAATGGTTGTGCAAAGTCTACTCTGACACAACCGTAATTCTTCCGCAGCATTCTGAAGACTCCTCTGGCTATGCTCCAAAGGCTTTCGTTCTTCTTAGGCTTCCCCTGCAAACATTGAAAAGCAAAAACCAACGTTCATTTACAATTAAAAGTTCATTGATATTTTACGGAAGCATAACCACAGTTACAATAAATCCAGGTCTTTTGACATGCAGCTTTAAAAGTCAAAGAGTAGAGCCATGACAAAAGCCTAGGGAATCATATGGCTTTTATCCTTATTATTATTTGTATTTGTTAAGTGATGAATTTGTATCTAGTAATATACAAGACTCAAATATCAAGATAGTACTTGACCTAGAAAGCTTTCATGATTCACATTACGTTGCATTTTTAATTCTGACACAAAAAGTTAAAGCACTCATGGCATACCAGTGCTAGCACAAAAATTAGATACATTTTTACTTAAGCAGAAAATCCCCGAGGCAAGACAATAAGTCTTCAGTTGCTTCTTACCAGCTGTTCATTGTTATAGTGACCTTCAATGATGCGATCATAGGAGATTCCCACAGGTATAATTAGTATGTCAGGGGTGGCATTTGTGAAGAGAGCATCTACCACCACAGATAAGAGACCTGCTCTGGCACAGGATGTTTTTCCACTCCGAGAACGCGTCCCTTCCAGGAATATCTCTAAGAACTGCTGCTGTCTAAGCAACTCCTCTATGTGCTAAAGGGACAGTGAGTAAAAGAACAAAAAAAACTAATGATACAGACATAGAAATTCCATATCAGCAATAGAATCCTCTTTACAAAACTGGAGCTGAAATAAATACAAATCTGCAAGAATAATCAAGAATTATAAGAGGAAATTAGAGTTTTATACAACCAAATTCTGATCCCAGTTACACTAATCTATATCCAAAGTAATACCATGGACTTTAAAACATCACTTCAGCTGCAAAACCAAAAAGAAGCAACCTAGCAATAATTAAATATTTTAAAGACACCTAAATTATTCTCTTCTCTGGATTTCAACAAAGTCAGTAGGGTAGGAGTTCCCAAATTTTTGTACATGTATGGCAGGGTGGCATGAGAGCTTGCTGGAAATGATGCACCAAAATTCTTTTTAAAATATTTTGGTTTCAAATAAAAAGTCATTCCATGCACTTCAGTACATCCTACAATGCCTGAGAAGCAAAACACCCTCCTGTACACTTTCAGCAATTTCGATGAGTAACTCTGTACGACCATGTCATCATAGTAGCTTTATTTAGCAGTGTATTGAATGCTGTGGGAACTGCACTCTCAAGTTGTGCACAGTTGCCTAGCTTTTTGCTGGGCCTAGCCTTCAGCTTGCACCAAATCACACAGCTCCAGCTACCGGGGCGATTTTGCAAAGTTCCATATCACAGTGCCAGAGCCTCTCTCATCTGAAAAGACACATGAGTTCAGGGCCAGTTCAGAGCCACTGCAAAACCTACAGTTGCAGGGAGCATGAGATAAAAGGGCCCCACACAGGGAGCTGCTGCAAGAGGTAGAGAGGGAAGGATTGTTGGCCAGAACCAGTGGATAAAAGCCTGGCTACAGGACTAAGGAGAACTGCCTGGCTGTTCACCAGGACAGCAGCCAGCTGGCTATAATTTGAGCTTCTTCTCAGCAGGGGGAGCCACTGTGCAGCATGCCCAGCATTCTGCTGAAGAGCAAGATGCTTCGTGGAGCTGAAGCCCCTCCAATTCCAGCCAAGCGTCCCGCCCCCATCTCTCTATATCTGCCCTCTGAGCCCCTGCCCTGCTGCACACGTGCACCGTTCTTTGTAATGGCACTTCTCTTATTCTCTCCCAGAGCTTTCTCAAAATATTTCATAATTTTCTTGATTTAAATTTTGTCAGACAGGAAGCTAAATGAATTCTGGCTACTGTTCAGTAATAATTCCGATAAAATTAGCAGGAATTTAAAACTTAGACTAGATAAGTTAAAAAGAGACAATCCACTGAGTGTAGTTAATGGCATACCATAGCATATCAAGAAAGCATTTATGACATTTAATTGTTTCTTATAATTTGAGTAAGATGAAAGAAATAACGGCTGCCTCATTATGTTTCTTTTTGATGGACTGTCTAAAAACTTGAGATGTTTACAAAGGATGTTATAATTACAGCTGGTTGGGAACTTTTCAATTAAACTTTTTATGGAAAATGCTGATTTGACAAAACCAAAACTTTTCATGGAAACAGAGCAGTTTCAATTCAACTTTCATCAGGAAGGTTTTCCATCATGAAGTTTCTGATAAATATGAGAGACCATAGAACAGCATAATCCAGTATTAGGGCACTCTGCCTTTTAGGCTAGGAACTTGAACCTAGATGTCCAATATCCCAGATGTGTGGTCTAACCGCAGGGCTACTGGCTATTCTAGAGTGGTCTCTTTTTTCACTACACATTTTTGAAATGTCTTGATTTCGTGCCACATCGGAATTTGTAAACAAATGGCAAAACCTCAACATTTTTCACAAAATGGAATTCTTGCTTTCCTGCCAGGCCTAATTATAACTGAACATTTTTGGCTTCTTTAGGGATATATTTTACCACAGAGTCCAGAAATACTTAAATTAAACCTACTGAGGCCTAAAATAAATGTGCAAAAGAAAGAAGTGTGCATGTGGTACTTCAAACACCCATTAAATACATGAACAAATACAATTTGGGAACTGCTGCTCTAGATTTACCTTAGTGTAAGTGAAATCAGAAGCTGTCCCAGTAGGCCTAATGTTACTGTTAATTTACACTGAAGGCAATCCCATATCCCCGTTAGAGACTCACACAGGGGAAAAATTTGATCCTGACGGGTGCTGAACACCCTCGACTCTCATGCACTTCATAGATTCAGGACTTCACTCAGCACAGAATTTACAGTTTCTCTAGTTTCAGAGTAACAGCCGTGTTAGTCTGTATTCGCAAAAAGAAAAGGAGTACTTGTGACACCTTAGCGACTAACCAATTTATTTGAGCATAAACTTTCGTAAGCTACAGCTCACTTCATCGGATGTTTATCTCTAATGTACCAAAACACACACACATGCTAAAATCAAGATAATAAACAATTTCACTTTCTCATCAGGCAATGCTGTTCAAATTAATGAAGTTAAAGAGAACCAACCTACGTTTTCCTAACATACATGGGTGCTCTTTCCCCCTTCTCTGTGACTAATCAAATTTTATATTTGCAAATTAAGAAAAGATACATACCACATACAGCAAAGCTCTATAAAGGACATCTTTACGTCCATGAGGGTTCTCATCCAACCTCCTCCGAATGAAAAAGCCTCCCAGCTTGCGGATCAATGTGCTACAAATCAAGAAATGATTTTATTCACCAATTTTAGTCAAATATGAAAAGAGTGGAATGTATAAACCAGCCAACAGCTTCAGGAAAAAATTAGATGAGGCAGAACAATGTGCATATCTCAGCCATTCTCCCTCAAATGAAAGAGAGGAAGAATGTTCTAGTGGTTAGGGCACTAGTCTAGGACCCTGCTCTGCCAGACTCCCTTTGTGACCCTGTAAAATGGGACTAAGAGCACTGCCCTCCCTCACAGAGATGTTGGGAGGATAAATACATTACAAATTTTAAGGTGTTCAAATTCTATAATGATGGGGGCCATATAAATACTGAAGATAGAGAGGGAGTGCTCTGCGAGAATTCTAGTCCCTACATTACTGCCAAATTTCAAAAGCTTATGCGAGTGTTCTCAGTCCTTCAACACTTGACATAAAACTTACAAAGATAAGTGCTGCAGTATTTGACTTAAACAGCCCTCAGTGTTCAAAGTTCTATGTTGCCTGCCACTAACTGAATACACTTAATTTCCCCTAAATCCCAATGAGTCTCCAAAGATGAAGAGGAACAGATGCTCTTAAACTTGTGCTATCCCACATTTATCAAGATTTCTTCATACACCCCTTCCTCAAAGCGACTCAGTAACTAAGTCTCAACTAAGTCGTCTTCCTTTTCCAACTTCCTTAAAGAATCTCTCTTTCAAGACTCTCTCTCGAATAAGACCAAAGTAAAGCTAGATAAGCTAGATAGGACCAAAGTAAATTCCAAAGTATGACCACAAGACTAAATTCCCTTATCACAAATCCTGAACAATTTGGGGCAGATCCTCAGCTGGCGTGGAGCTATGACAATATACACCAACTGAGCATATGCCCCTTTGGCTTTATTGAAAGCAAGTTAAAGTTTAGCTCAGCATATTATCCTTACCTGAAGATGGGAATGTTGAGGTTATTCCCTGCAGCAATGTACGGTGCTTTGATGTTATGGCAGAAAAGAATGAATGTGAGGAGCAGATAGTCGATGTGAGATTTGTGAACAGGCAAGAAGATAAGAGGTAAATTCATCTATTTGGGGGAGGGAGAAAAAGAGATAAAACAAAATTAATAGGATACTGTGGAGTGAAAAGAAGGTTACTCACCTTGTGCAGTAACTGAGGTTCTTCGAGATGAGTCTCCCTGTGATTGCTCCACTCCAGGTGTAGGTGCATCCCCATGCCTTCACTCGGAGAGTTTTACTGCAGTGCCCATACAGGTTGCGCATACATGGTGGTGCCTGCCTCACGCGCTGTTGTCTGTTGAAGTGTTGCGTGTGCAATCCGGACTCCTCAGTTCCTTCTCTACTCAGAGCCTGTATCCAGCTCCGAAGAGGAGGGAGGAGGGTGCGTAATGGAGCACCCATAGGGACACTCATCTGAAAGAACCTCAGTTACTGCACAAAGTGAGTAACCTTCTTCTTCTTCGAGGTGTCCCTGTGGGTGCTCCACTCCAGGTGATTGTACAGCAGTGCCCTTTAGGATGGTAGGGGCTTTGCAGTAGGAAATAAAACAGTGGAAAGTACCGCTCGGCCAAGTTGAGTATCTGTTTTAGGGCCTTGCGTGATAGCGTAAATGTTTGGCAAAGGTGTGTCTGGATGCCCAGATGGCAGCCTTGCAAATGTCTATCTACGGGACATTGTTTAGAAATGCCGTGGACATCAATGTAGACCTCGTGGAATGCACACTAATGGTTGCTGGAAGCTGAGTGCCTTTTAGCTGATAGCATAGCCGAATGCATCCAGATATCCATTTAGAGAGCCTCTGTTTGGTATGTGCGCTCCTTTGGACCGTTCTGCTACTGATACGAAGAGTTTAGGAGAAGCCCGAAATGGTTTAATTCTGTCCAGATAAAAGGTCAAAGCCCTTCTAACTTCCAGCGTGTGCACGGTCACCTCTAACGAATTTGCGTTTGGCTTGGGGAAGAAAGTTGGGAGCTGCAGAGGTTCGTTAATGTGGAAGTATGAGTGCACCTCAGCTAAGAATTTGGGATGAGTGTATAACATAACTTTATCCTTACGAAAGATAGTATGGGGGGGGTCAGCCATAAGTGCCTCTATCTCCCCCATGTCTCATGGATGTGATGGCAACCGAAAAGGATACTTTCATGGACAAGTGTAACAAGGAGCAAGTTGCCAAAGGTTTGAACGGTTGACGAGTCAGGACGGTTGGCCCAAGATTTAAGTCCCAAGGTACAGTATGTGGCCTCACATCCAGAGAGAGGGTGTGGATGCCTCGGAGGAATTGTTTGGTGATAGGGTGAGCAAAGATTGAGGTCTCATCAATCTTTTGGTGGAAAGCAGTGATCACCGCTAAGTGAACCTTCAGTGAACTAATGGAAAGGCCCAACCATTTAAGCCCTAAGAGATAGTCTCGTATCATCATGAGAGGAGCAGATACAGCATATGCTTGTTTTGTGGTACACCATGTTATGAATCTCTTCCACCTGTGTATGTAAGTGGAGCTTGTAGATAGCTTCCTACTGTTGAACCTGTTCTGAGCAGGTTAGCTCATCATGAGAGAGCCATAAAGCAGCCATGCCTTGAGCTGTAGCATTTGCAAGTTGGGGTGCTGTAATTGTCCCTCCTGTTGTGTAAGTAGGTCTGGGTGCAGGGGAAGAGTGATCGGGGCTATGCTGACATGCATTTCAAGAAGGGGTACCACTGCTGTCTCAGTCACGTAGGGGCTATTAGGATGACTCTGGCTCTATCGGTTCTTATTTTCTGTATGACCCTGGGGAGCAGTGGTATCAGTGGAAACACATATAGGAGATCAGTGATCCAGCTGATTAAGAATGCATCTCTCCAAGAGTGTTTCCCCAGGGCTGCTCTGGAACAGAATAGGGGACTTTTGCTGTTGCGGACTGTGGCAAAAAGGTCTATACGTGGGTGATCCCACTGTCATAATACATGTTGAAGTACTGGGTTGCTTTGTTCCCATTTGTGGTCCTGAGGAAACCATCTGCTGAGTTCGTCTGTTGTGGTGTTCTGGCAGCCAGGTAGAAATGCAGCTGAAATGTGGATGTTGTGACGGATGCGTAGATTCCGGAGCTTGATAGCCTCGGAGCAGAGTGAAAGGGATCTGGCTCCCCCCCTGCCTGTTTATATAAAACATACAAGTGATGTTGTCGGTCATCACTCGTACATGTTAATTTTGTATGAATGGTAGGAAGTGGAGGCAGGCATTGCGCATAGCGCGAAGTTCCAGGAAATTTATATGTAACCTGGTCTCTGTTGTGGACCATAGCCCCTGTGCTGAGCGATGTTCCTTGTTTGCTCCCCTACCCCACGAGGAAGGCATCTGTCGTGAGCAATTGTGAGGTGGGGGTGGGGGGGGAATCTGTGTGAACTGGATCCCCAAGCACAGGTTGGGTGGGTGAGTCCACCAGGTTAATGATTCCTTGCTCTTGTGGGACATTGTTAAGCGGATGTTCATGTTGTGCTTGTTTGGTTTGTACACTGTTGATAGCCATCCCTGCAGGCAGTGCATGTGCAAACACGTATAATTGACTACAAATGTGCATGCTGCCACGTGGCTCAAAAGTTGTATGCATTCATGGGCCGTAAGCTGAATACCAACTGTTGGGTAGGTTCTATCATTGATTTCTTTGTAGGCTGAGGCTGTGAAAACAGCTTATTGCCGTTTGCATGGAGTGAACAGCTTCCAATAGAGTGTACACCTTGAGGAGACAATCGGCCAGATAAGGAAATATAATTATTCCTGGCTTCCTCAGATGCCCCGTTGCCACTGCGAGGATCTTGGAAAAGAAAAAAAACTTGGCACTAAAATACAAATGGTATAAACTGGCTAACACTAAATAACTATTTCCTAAACTAAAAACTAGGTATGAACGGCACTGCAGCGCTCCGTCTCAGGCCGGGGACAGCTGAGAAGGAACTGAGGAGTCCGGATTGTGCACGCGACACTTGAACAGACAACGGCGCACGAGGCAGGCAACGTGCATGCACAACCCATACGGGCCCTGCGGTAAAACTCTCCGAGCAAAGACGCACCTACATCTGGAGTGGAGCACTCACAGGGACACATCTCGAAGAAGAATTTTGTCTTCTAAATTTTCTTTACCGAGTAACACCTTAGATTAGTAGAACTGACAGAATTTCAGTTTACACTTCTCCACTTATTTTCTTTAGCAGCGAGAACAGACTAGGCAATTGCACTACCAGTGTTTGTGCTGTAGGCACTGCAGGGAGCAGTAGAATGACATTAGCAGGTTTTTCAGACTTACAGTATCAATGCAAGATGACGACAATTATTTGAGATGTGCCAAAATTTTCCACTGTAAACAGGTTGTTGACTTGTTTTGTAAAAAAGTAACTTAACTTTATCAGCAGCAATGTTCCCAGGCATTGTACTCCAAAATGCTAACACGGTAACTGATTACATAAGGAAAAAACCTGCCATTTTATTCTCACTGCATACTATCTAAGCAATATTGCACAATGTCTCCAAATACTCCCGGTAAAGTTCCTTAGAAATCAATGGTGCCTCTCTCTCTCATTTCAGTGCAATTATTTATTCCTTGATAGTGTATGGGTCATATAGCACCTTTCTGTGGTAAATTCTGCATAAAAGGCGTAGAAAATTCAGGATATTGATATTGTGAAATGGGAGGGGTAAGGACTGGTAGAACTTGAAAGGATGCTTATAATAAATTTAAATAAATAAGCAAGCAGTAGGTGAGGCACTTTGCAGACAAGTATGAAGACCAGGTTATTCCTTGAAGTCTAAATATATGTATAAGTAGTTTTAAAAAGTTTAGTAATTTATTAGCCTGCAGCTGTATCAGCATTGGGGGGGAGGACAGAGAATATTCTACAGTGGGTCACATCAGACATTACACTCAAAAATGATCCTGAAACTTGAGATAAAACCAGAACTTGGCTTGGTCTTTTAGGGTGCTGTGAACACACAGCTGAAAGAGCACAGTATCTCTAGTACCTAGGATTATCTAATAAAGACAGGTCTGCTGAATGGTACGTTGACAGAACTGGATAGCACAGGATCTGAACTGGGGCCTGATTCTGATCTCATTTAGACTGGTATAACTTCACTGACTTCAATGGAGTCACTCCTGATTTACACCAGTGAAAGTAACATCAGAAGTTTCCCCATGTTTTAAGAGTTTATGTAATTTTCTTACCTTGGTGGCTGCTTTGACCATCTCCAATTGGCCTTTGTGGATCTGAATGTTCCAAAAGAAGCTGTTAAATAATTTCAGTAACACCCAACCAGTCAACCTAAGGGTGAAAAATGTTAAACCCAAGAGAATTTTAAGTTTAATTCAAAGTGGCCTTCCTGTTGTATTGCTTTTATAACCAATATGGTCACATAGAGATGTAGAGTTTGCAACACCAACTGGTCAGTGGAGTTGTTGGGGGCATAATCAGGGAGAATTCCTTCCTAACATCTCTCGTGATCAGCTTGCACACTGAAGCATGAAATTTGATTCCTATCTTAAGAGTCACAACTAAAGAAAAATATTGTTAAATGGACTATTGATCGTAAGTTACTGCAGCAAGATGCTTAAGCTGATTTAGGCAGTAACAATAGAGGGTACCCTGGGGCTGACAGCAAGGAGCTTAATTCAGGGGGGGAAAGTGTATTTATTTAAATTTTATCATACTATTTGTAAGTTGGAAAGCCCACAGATTCCTTGTGTTCCAATATGAGAGTATGATTACACTTCATTTTTTAAGGCTAAAACCTATAATCCTCATGTTTTGGGGTAGCATTAGGGTTAGCTATAAAATAGGAATTTTTAGGCAGGAAGTGACTGTTGTGCTCATGTACAAGGGCAAAGACTGGAGATCCTTCCCCTGATGCTAGGCAAGCATAAAAATAGTTCACCAAACTATGGTTATTACCTGATCAAAGCAGGTGAGATGTTTGCTACCATTTCTTGGAGAATTCTTCTAGCTTTTTTCTTCACTTTGCTGATGGCCTTGAGGTCTGTCCAAGTACCTGCAGCACTTAATACAGAAGCCTCCTCTACAATGGCCTTCTGCACTCTGATTTTAAAAATAAAACACAAGACAGTTCTGTAACAAATGAGTTAAGCTATAGACTGTTTCTAGAAGGAATGAACTAGGGCAGTTCTATGGTATAATTATTGCAGTAAGTTGGAAGATGAAAGAAATGCACATCAACATGCTTTGCGTTTCATTTGCCATAAACTGAAATTCAATGGTCATCTAAGTTTCGATTAAATACTTGTAAAATGAAATGGACCAATCCATGGGTAAACTGGTATCAGCTGGTCAATGATTTGCAGAAACATATTGAAAGTTATAAATACAGTACAGAGGCAAAAATATCATTCACTGGCTATCAAAGTTAACCCTTGACAGAGTATGGCAAGTGCTGGCCTTTAATAAGTTTCTCCATTCTAAGAACACATCTATAGAATATAAAATTTTAAAAGCAAGGGTCTGAGAGCTCTCAGATCAATGGCTGATGTTCAAAGCATTCCTTAAATTTGTGCAAGTATTCCTGGATATTATGAAAGTCGGCTCAGAAACTGAGTGAATTAGGAATCCAACTATAAGCACTAGCTCAAAAAGTTACTACAGAATGAGAGCATAGACTATAGATCCACCGCTTAGAAGGAGTAGGGCCTATGATGGTTGCCCCTGGCTAGGGCACTTCCAGCAGCACGGGGGAGATCAGACCCATCTCCACTCCGGGAACCTTCTGCGGCTGCAGGAAGCTCCATGGTTGCTGCCTTCAGAGTCCAGCTCTGAAGGCAGCACAGAAGTGAGGGTTGCAATCCCATGAGTCTTCTACAACAGGTTTGTGACCCCACACACACACAAATATCCCCTTTTGGGTTGCACCCCCACCATTATAACACCATGAAATTTCAGATTTAAACATCTGAATACGTAAAATGACACTGATCATAATGGACCGTGAATTTGGTAGGGCCCTAGCTATATAGATCTACTATGAACTTGGTAACAAAAGCTGCAAAGGGCTCCATAGTAGTTTATTATACTTAGGACTTTTCCACATGGGACGTTAACGTGAACCTATAGCACACCTGCTTGCCATGCACTAATGTCCCATGTTAACAAGCCCTTAATATTAAGTTTATTGTATCTGTAGCAGCAGTCTCTCCAAAGATACGGAGGCTGATGTGTAAAAACCCCACCCACCCATAACTATTCTATACAAAAGTTATGTGGCTTAAATTTGAGGGATGAGCTGTCATACAGACACTGTACCTTCTATTATTCTAAATATTCTAGCTTTCAGAATTTGCTGTGTTGTCATTCTGTAACAATCTTTGATTAAATGTAATATTATGCATGAAATTGGAAACAGACACAAAAAAAACAATGTTGGCTTATTTAGCACATCTTACCTGCTGCAGTTCAACACATTTTCTGTCACATTGTTGGCAAACATACTCTTATGCACATCTCGTTCTTGCACAAAAAGAACATAACAGAGCCGTCTTGCCAGCCACCCTCTGTACCTATATCATAAGAAAGATAATCATCAAAATGTGTCCCAAAAATGTGTCCCATTGTCAGCTTTTAAAAGAATAATTTTATTGTCAAACATTCACATACATCCAATAAAAGGTTACAAAAGTAGGTAAAATTCTTTGAACAGCTACCTCATAGCTTCTGTATTTTCTACTATATCAGAAAATTAACAGTGTTACAGACAGAATAGATATATATCACAAGATACGTGGGAAGAAACCCAAACTGAAGCAACAAACTTATGGGAGGCTGGTGTCATAACATTTTCACTCAATCATAAAAAAATTGCCACAAAAGAACATATCTGCGGTATTTTCCTTGGTTACATCTCAGAACTTACATACATTTCGGCTGTCTGCCAGGTCAGAATACACAATTCACCCAGTGCCAAGTTTTAAGCAAATCAGTGACCTTGCTGTGAGCAGCATAAATCCAGCTAACATTCGTCAACATTTTTATAAAAAGATCGAGGCTGACATTTTTCAAAGCTGCCTGAGTCACGTGTCAATCCTCAACCTAAAGATAGGGGTTCCTGCCACCTCCTCCTATAATTATTAACAAGATATTTTGTTTTGTTTTAATGCACATATATGCCTGTTTGCATTGTAACAATTCTAGGAATTTGCAAACAGTTATTTTGGAGATAAAAGCCTTGCTAAACTGTGGACAAGGAAGAAAAGAAAATAGGTTAAAGGTTTTTTTAATATTTTAAAGCACTTTCTCAGTTGTTTGGCAACTGCATTTTCATTGCTTTTCCTTTCTAAAAAAAAAATTCTTTGAGAGGTTTTTATAAAAAAATTCGTATTAGGCTTGACAAAATGGTCAACTGACCACATATTTCACTATGGTCAAATATTCACCCAAGAATGCCCTGATCAGCAGCCTACATTTCTGATTGCATCATGGAGCCATTCTTTAATTTTTTAGAACTTCATTTCATTGAGTTATTTTCACTCCGAAAAATGTGAAACAAGTAACTTTTTTTTTTTAAAAATTAGGCATAGAGTGAGCGCGCGTGTGTATATATATTATATATATAAATAAAATGCTATGCCTACTGTAGACCATAAAGTCTTACTCTTTTGTCTTACTGTTCTAATAAATTAGCACTTTAAAATATTTGACCATATTTGACAATATTCGACCAGTCAATTGACCAATTATTTTTGGACCAGTCATATGCCCAATCCGAATTGATTTTAAGGGAAAAGTTGAGAAGGGACGTTTGTTGCTATCAAACAGCTTGGTTATTGTGAGTAAGTCATCAGATCAGCACAGAAATATCACAGAAGCCTGTCAAATATTAGCACATTCACTATGAGGCTTAGAAATAATAATCATGCAAATCTCTACTCTCTAAATGGCTGTCAGACAGAGAAAACTGCATACTGTATACATAGTGAGAAACTGTATATTATGTAAATTAGGTATCTGCAACCAATCAGAGCACAAGGATTTACTGCGGGAAAAAACTGTAGTTAGGAATCAATAACTGTCTAGCACCCTTCGAATCAGACTGGCTGAGAATTCCATTTCAGTACAATACTAAATTCAAGGGAAATGCTACACTGTCAAAAGGAAGAGGGGCTGAAACAAAATGATAAATAAATAAGTTGTTACTGGATGGTATTCATTCAAGAGTTCCAAAGGAACTTAAAGTGGTAGGCTAAACTACAAACAAAATATGCATTCATTAAAATCTGTGAATATAGTCACTGTTCACTAGCAGTTAGAAAAATCACTTTTTTAATTTTGAAAATGAGCAAATGTGGTATGAAAGTTACTGAGAGATTAAATATGGAACTTCAAAAAATCATTTACACGTTCACTACAACTGCACTGTGAGTTAAGCACATTTTGTGGTTTAAGGAAAAATGGTTCGATGAATCAACTGGTTTTACATTCCTATTTTACAAAACCATGAGCTATCAAGACCGTTCAAGGATTTGACCTATTTTTTTTATTTTATTTTAAACAGCATTTCAAAAGGTTTTCAGTATTCTAGACCACTGATGACACACACAAAAAATAATCAATTAAATCAATAGACAGTAATCTCCAGTATTAACCGCCAGGCCTTCCCTCTCTCTCTCTCAAGTACAACACAACACTGTCTTTCTTTCACTCAGACATTTTGGCTCGTTTCCTCCAGTCTATTAGCCTGTCTCTGTTTGTTCTGAATCTACAATGAATACTACAGAATCTTACGTTAATTATGATATCAGGAGAATCAACTTTGCAGGCAGGCAGAACACAGAAACATTTTCATTTACTTCAAAATGAAAGTATCATTACCCCAGGACAAAACTATAAAAACAGAACAAAAATGCATTATCCAGTTAAATACCTTAAACACACATATCAAAGAGCTGTACTTTGCTATCATGGAAGGACAGGTTCAACCTATAACTGCTATTATCCTATGTATACCAACAGTGGCCAAAGTGTAGGCTGTGGGCCAAATTGACAAATTCAACAATGCAGCCTTCAGTCACACAGTCAACCCAAGGATGCAGAGGCCACTTTCATCTTTAATCTATTGCTGCTTTCATCTTTAATACAGGGATACATGCTTACCCATTCAAATCAATATCTGTGGGACACGCACATTGTGACTCACACCCCAATGCATTAAAGTCAATGGCGATTGACATCTGCTTTACTTTACGCAGACTACGTGCCATCTTCACACTCCTTATATGCAGTCAATGTAAGTAGACAACCTTGGGACTGCTCTGAAATATACAAGCAGTTTGCACACACTGTCTGTAGTTAGCAGCGTGCCAAGACAGACTATAGGTTTTATTGCCGCTGTAAATTCAGCACAGATTCAAGCGTACCAAGAAAGCATTCTAGCCCTCATGAGGTTGTTAAATCTTTCTTGGTGGTTTCTCTGCCAAGAGATCCAGTAAGTTAGAAAGACAAAGAAAATGTCATTAATTATGCTGGAAATAGTTTAACTTACCTTGTGTGCGTTTCATTGATATAGATGACATTGCGTAGGCCCAAAGAAGGGATACTAGCATTGAAAAGTTTATCCTACCAAAACAAAATGAGAGAAAAGAAATAATTGGAAGACTTTTTCCTTATAAAATAATGGTCGTTTCTTCACATTAACAATAACGTAAATTCTTTTTCCTCTTCAAATATGAAGATAAAGAAACAGAGGCAGAAGTGTTATGTGACTTGTTGATGAGTACAAAATAAACCAGTACCAGAGCTGAGATTTAAACTCAGGAGGCCCTATCTCCCAGACCTTTACTCAGGCCACATTTAGCGCCCATTCAGTTCATCCATGATACTTTACTGCACCTAGAAAACTCAACAGTGCCTCCCACTTGGAAGTGGATGAAGATCAGGATACGTAATGAGCGGGGGTATAAGTAAATGCACGTTCCTATACAAAAGGGAAATAACCCTCACTTTTTTAGCATGGGTAACACTGCCAGCCAGTGAAAACCACAGAAAAACAAAATAAAGGTTAGTTTAATCCAAACTTGTCTAACCAGTCTAATCACTTAAATGGGAAAGCAATGGGTGTTATAGAATACCAGAAGATAGATGCAGGTCATGAGCTGTTCAAAAACAGTCAGAGTTTAGGCCCAGGGTCCATCTACAAAGCCAGAATATTGTATTATGAGCAAACTACATAAACCAGCACTTGTGCAAAGACAAATAATGAAGTGATGCTTCAGACTGGAACTTGAGGTCAGATTCACACCTGGTGTAAGCAGGAGATACACCATATAAACCTTACCCCAGTCAAACCCTCTGGCTCAAGCACAGCATCTGCATGAGAAGGTTTATAGTTAGTACTGTAGCCCATTTTGACAGTCACGAACTGAAGGTGATCCTCTCTCAAATCTAGACATTTGCTGTAACAAGTACAAAACCTGCATTCCTGTGATTTGCTATGTAAAAATAAATACGTGTATATGAATCATTCAGGTCCTGGGAAGTGAGAACTCATTCAAGAAGAGATTCACAGCACACTCAAGTCACTTATCACCTCCCACCCTAAACAGAAGATGCCAATAAAGCAAATCATCGCACAGATAACAAGTTGCCTTTTGTTGTTGTTGTATTGCCAACCCAGACAAACAATTTATGAGTTCAGAGAAAGATTCATGAACGTAGCTGACACAGGGATGGGAAAGAACTCAATGAGGAACACCACCAGGGAAGGGAGTGTTATTGTATTTGGGTGGCAATGTTGCTTTTTGGATAGAGCACTGGACTGGGACTCAGGATACCTGGGTTCTCTTTCCAGCTATGCCAATGGCCTGTTGGAGAAGTCATTTCACCTCTCTATGCCACGTCATTTCACCTCTCTGTGCTCATCTATAAAATGGGGATAATGATACTGACCTCCTTTGTAAAGCACAAGAGCTACTGATGAAAATGCTATAAAAGATAATATAAAAATATCTATTTATTTCCCTTCTAGAACATTAAGCAACAAGTGTATTGTACAATTATGCTCTGAGGTTAACAAAAGGGTGTCTGATACCACAGCCACCTTTCAATGCATTGCTACAATACAATTTGCAAAGGACATAAAACACTCTGCTGCAGGTATTCCCCTCAAATCATATGTAGCATGAAAAGCCAACCTCAAAAAAAAAAAATCACTGGATTTGTGTCAACAGATCTAGTATTTACCCCTTCCTTTTCAAATTTAACTTTAAACTGAGATTCTCATCAGAAAAGGGACTATAAAAACAGCACTGAGGTGTTCCATATGTATTCCATCACATTAGGTATGACTAAGGAGATCATGGCTATGTAACCCCCCCCGGCAGAGTCCTTGAATTTTGCCCTCATTTACACCTAAGCAACCGCAGTAGTTTTAGTGGGGCAGCACAGGTATAACTAAGGGCATAATTCAAAGAAAATGGGATTAAGTGGCCCTACAAATGGATCATCAACAACAAGTTTGATGCTTGAGCCAGAAAAGAAATCAGTTCACTCTCAGAACTAAACTGGCTCCACAGACTAAACAAAATCCAAAAATATTTTTGATATGGCAAGTTACAAAAGCATTGCAAAAACATATGAGGCACAAAACCCCTACGTGTACACAGGAGGTGGAATCAATTTATCTAGGTCCTTATATTGTTCCCCATATCCTACCAAGGATAGTTCTCTACAATGCATTTGGGGTTTTATCCCCTGTATCCATTTGTCGTTATTGACCATTCCTACTCTGGTGGCAGGAGTTAACAGAAGCAAAAGTGTTCTTTTGTCACTGAACTCAACAAATACTTACTATAGCCAAACACAAGTTACTGGCCTCACTACAGGGGTAACTGGGTAAAATTTAGGGACCTGTAACACAGAGGAGGTCAGAGTAGAATCAGATAATCTAATGGTCCCTTCTGGCCTTAAACTCTGTGAATCTATGAAATATAATTGAACAAAAGAGAGTACATATCTGACAAGTAAAAATGTACCATTTCACACAATCACACCTTCAAAGGAAGCTCATTCACTATAGTTTAAAAGTTTGGCAAAACACTTTTTGAAGTCATCTTGCAGATCATCTGTTACTTGAGCATCTTGATACTGCTCCAAGGGACAAAACATCACAAAAACTACTACATCTGGCACTTGTTGTTGCCAGGCTCAGCAGAAAAGCCAAGAATTGTCTGGGTCTGAAAACTCAATTGTCTTCTCAAACCTACTTGTGGTTCCTTCAAGTCAGTGGTGAAACATATTGGAGAATACGAGAAGCTTTCAAGACCAATGGTCAGACTGTAGTTATTCTATGGATTCAGAGTGAACGTTAAGATTTCATTTTTGGAGATTAATACCTTTCATGAGCATTAAATTTACATCAGTAACATGTATTTTAAATAATCTTGCACAGCAAATGAGTTTTTCACAAAATTCAAACACTAGTTCTCAAACAGAATTTAGTGCAGGGAATTCTGCACTGGAAGACAGACAGACAGACAAGACATCACAAAAGGTCTTTTCCATCTCCAAATTTTATGACAATGTTTTAGGAAAGGTAATCTTAACTACCAAGCAAACAAAAGAGAAGTAACAATCAACCTTCCTGTATAGATTAACAACACTGTGATCTTAATTCTGAAAGTGAGGAAACTACTGAAACTCCAATACACTGTAATCACATTTCAACTTCTTATTGTCAAACATAATCCAGTTCATAATCTTCTTACCCGGCTTTGGGGAGTACACATGTAGCAACAGCGTCCCACAAATGGCCTTTTTCTGCTCAGTAGTGTCTCTTTCCATTTTAAAGTCGCAGATCGGAAGACAGTAGGCCTCGAATTGCACTCTCCCTAGCACAAAAATGACAATTATCCACTACTGAGAATTTAAAGACTTTAGGGATACTACCAGGCCCAACTTATTTTTTTAAACCTAAAGCCAATAGAAATGTTTCCGTAATTTTTTTTTCTAAAATTCCAACTGATACCAAAAAAACCCCTACATTCTGCTGCACTATTTACATCCCTAACACTGCATTATTGTACTGATGCCTGCAAAGCTGAAAATGAAATTGACATAAGCTAACTAGAAACAGATGAGAAATTAACCAGTATATTTTCATTTTCAGAAATGAGAGAAGAGTAAAAAGTTAACAAAGTATAGTGAACAGTAAATCAGATGTCATTTTAATAATTCAGAGTCGTTCATAATGTAATCAAGGAAATCTGAATTTTAATTCATTGCCGGACAATGTCATTTTAAAATTGTAAGATGACTGAACGTATAAGAACTTCACCAATTTTACAGTCCTTATAGGTTATGTTTCAACAGCCATATGAAAAGTAATAAGCAAAAATAACTACTGTACGAAAGCCTAATTCCTCAGGCTGATTTTTAAAGATTCCCAAGTACAGGGAATCAGTAACAAGAAAGCTGGAGTTTTCTTTTATTTGATTAATTAGAAAAACAAACCATGCCATTCTTAACTACAGTAGCATGCATAATTAAACATGCATAATTCCCACTGAAATCAATGGGAATATTACTTGCCTGTGGATGCTGGTTCAGGACCATTGTACTCAATGGAATTACAAAGTCATCTGTTATAATATTGATATAAAGAGCAACCATATAACCAAAAGAGAGAAAACAAAATAAGCCCATATATGTTAAAAATGACACATGAAAGGGAAGCAAAGCAGATTGCAGCCAGTACCTTCAATGCAGCATACCTGTTAGAAATCCTAAACGTGGGTTATCATATACTCAACTAGAAAACCACATCATTCAGAAACAACCAGAAAGTCAAAAGCAAGGCAAAAATTCATATTAAAAATTGAAATGTTCAACAGGTAATAGCCTGAATTGGCTAATGTTCCTACCCTAAAGAGTTTTTTTCAGAAACGAAATAAGCACCAAAATGCTGTCCCTTCACCAGCCCCATCTACTACCAATACCACCACCAAACGGTCACCATCCAAGCTCAAAACCTTTATGTCAAAACCCTCACATTTAGGCCCTTGCTAAAACCTGCTACTACTTTCTCTACAAAATCTCTTCCTTCCCATCTCGTGCATGCCATTATCCCCACTCTCATAATCTTTTCTCATTTACTGTAGCCTGTTCCCTCCTATCTCCTCCACCTCTAGTTGGATCCAAAACACACAGCTGCCAAAATCAACATCCTTTCTCTCAACTCTGACCATGTTTCCAACTCTTCTTTCGTATCAAGTTCCAAGTTCAAACTTCTCATCTTTAGAGCACTGCACAATTCCACCCTGCCTGCATTGCTACATCATCTCCTCCTACACCCATGCTGCTCCTTATGCTCCTCCCAACCTACTCTGTTCACTGCCCACTTTGTATATTCCAAATCCTGAATCCTTTTCCACAACAGCCTGCACAACTACAAAAGCCTCCCCATTAATGCCCACCAAGCTCCCTCCAGCACTTCTAAGAAACCATTTCAAGAGCTATATAAAACTATTAATAAATATACCATGAGGCTCTAAGGATGTTAACACCATTTCTTTCTATGCCTGACAAAATGAAGGCATTCTACTGCCTAGCAATACCGGTCTCTGCAACAGCATTATACTCTTGGTTCATCACCAATTTCTAAGCCAAGTACTGGAAGAAATTGTGTAATGTACATAGGAGATAACATTCTTATCCTCACTCCTCATGAAAAGAAAAAGAAAAAAGAAAATTCTATCTTATACTTTAAGGAAAAATAAAGCAAATCTTAAGGACTTACATCCATATTTTTACTTACCCATTCTTCACTGGAGTGCTTACATCTAGTGACAGCATATTCTGCTGAAGAGGCCAAATAGGAAACATCTATTGTTCCAAGGGACAAAGCAGCCTCATCCATGACACAGGACAAATTTAAGACCATGGGCTAAAAGGCAAAATGCATATTTTTGTGAAGGGTAATTTACAATTCTAAATAATTCATCATAAATTGGTTTCCTGTATCAATGCATATCCTGCAAAGTTCCAGATTGACTCTCTCAGGTTTTGGTACAAGCAGCTGTACCAACACAGTAAATGGACAAAATAGCATACTCAGTATGTCTAGATGAAGAGACCTATTAACACCTTGCCCATACTGCCTTGTACTGACCCAAAGGATACCTTTGCTCAAGAAGTTACTCACACTCCTCTTATACTATACAACATTCCTCTTTTATAAATTGACTCCTGGGAACATCTTTCTTCTATAAAGTCTTTCAGAAATGTTTTCTCCTTGCACCACCAGCCAGTGTATTGCATGTGTCTGAGCTAGATTAAGTGTTGAAACTAGATTTAAAACTCCTTGGGGCAAGGTTCATGCTATATGTGCATGTATAATTCCAAACTCATTACTGGCACGCAATAAAAAAAATATTAAAAATCCAACACAAGCCCACATTGCATGTGGAGAAGCCTGCATTAAGATAATCCTTTTGAAATAAAATATTTCATCATCAATCTAATAAATTTAGTTCATATCACTCCATGAAAGATTAATAAGCCAATAAGTCAAAAGCATTAAGAGAGTGTTACAATGAGCATTTGCACAACTCGGACATTCTGAAATCAAGTAGTAGTATTCACTACAAATTGTGAGATATATTTCATAAAATATCAATTTATATTCAATATGTATACAGTATTAAGAGAGGATGCTAATTCTTTCATTTATTACCACAGAGAAATATTTCAAAGCCCAGATCATGCAAATACCTGTAGGAGTACTCTCCACTGAACTCAATGGGCATATTCTGGTATATAAATGTTTGCAGAGACTAAAATCACTAACCCAAAATTTTACTTCATTTAATCCCAGGCAATCAACCAGCCTCAGCACAGGGAAATGAACTAGATGAAGTCTGGTGGTCCCTTTAAACCCTACATTTCTATGATTCTAAACAACAGTCAACCCTGGATCCATCCTGCAAGCACTCCATGCACAAAATTCTCAACTTAAATTAAAATTTTAAATTCTGGCATTTTACAGGATTAGGCCCTTTGGCTTAACTTTACACATTGTGAGTACAAAAAGGTACACGTGAATAGATCTTTGCAGGTTCAGGACCTTTATTTGCTTTACTGGGTCTTAAACACACTAATACTCTAAGTAACCCATAAATACAAATACGATGCTCATACATATTCAGAAAGATATGTCCCCTAATTCACTTCTCGGTCACCTTGGTCACATTTGTGTGTATACACAATCACTTGAAGACAAACACTAGAAATAAAAAGCTATTGAAGCAATGGCAATTTCATACATAAATCTACAGAGAAAAAAATTCTTCCAGCACCTAAACCCCATTAAACAGCTTATGCTCTAAACCAGCTACAATAAATATGTCAATCTAAAGTGAATCAGCATGGAGTAAAAATACAAAAGATCTGCTAAAAATAAAACTACAAACACTGAGCACAAATATGTGGTGTAGAATGTCCCTGAGCAATAGAGGGGCATATTGCCAAGCGGACTGCGCTGAGGCAATGTTGGAGGAGGAGCAGACCATAATGGCAATGAAACTGCACTGTCCTCTGAAGCTCACGTGGAACTGAGGAACGGATATGACAAAATCAGCAAGGTGCAATAAAGGTTTGTGGCTCCATTGGTCTGGAAGGGAGTGAGCATAAAGGTGCGTGAGAAGGCAAAGAAAAAACAATCTTAATAGGGCTCCCAGCCTCTAATTCCAATCTTCCAGTTCAGAGTACAGCCTGAATCTCTGCAGCTCAGTGAATGCTTCATCCTATTCCAGGCCTACAGAAAAGACAGAAGCGACCCATAACCAGCCCCCCCACCAACACACACTATCTTCCCCTGCACCCTCCATGCCTTCCCACTATACCCCCATGCCTCTACCCCCTGCACACATCCCCCACACCCACTAGATAAACTATCCCCCATACCCACCCACGCTATTCCCTTGTGCCACACCGCCCCCACCCAAGCTAGTCCCTTGCGCCACACCACCCCCACCCACCTATGCAACCCCCACACACACACTATTCCCCTGTGCCACAGGGCCCCCACCCACCTCTGCAACCCCCCCACACACTATTCCCCTGTGCCACAGGGCCCCCACCCATCTCTGCAACCCCCCCCACACACTATTCCCCTGTGCCACACCGCCCCCACCCATCTCTGCACTGCCCCAACCCACGCTAGTCCCTTGCGCCACACCGCCCCCACCCACCTCTGCAACCCCCCCACACACTATTCCCGTGCCACACCGCCCCCACCCATCTCTGCACTGCCCCCACCCACGCTAGTCCCTTGCGCCACACCACCCCCACCCACCTCTGCAACCCCCACACACTATTCCCCTGTGCCACAGGGCCCCCACCCACCTCTGCAACCCCCCCACACACTATTCCCCTGTGCCACACCGCCCCCACCCACCTCTGAAACCCCCCACACACTATTCCCCTGTGCCACACCGCCCCCACCCACCTCTGCAACCCCCCCACACACTATTCCCCTGTGCCACACCGCCCCCACCCATCTCTGCACTGCCCCCACCCACGCTAGTCCCTTGCGCCACACCGCCCCCCCCCCCCCCCCTCTCCCCCCCCCCACGCTCCCCCCACCTCTGCAACCCCCCCACACACTATTCCCCTGTGCCACACCGCCCCCACCCACCTCTGCAACCCCCCCACACACTATTCCCCTGTGCCACACCGCCCCCACCCATCTCTGCACTGCCCCCACCCAAGCTAGTCCCTTGCGCCACACCGCCCCCACCCACCTCTGCAACCCCCACACACACTATTCCCCTGTGCCACACCGCCCCCACCCATCTCTGCACTGCCCCAACCCACGCTAGTCCCTTGCGCCACACCGCCCCCACCCACCTCTGCAACCCCCACACACACTATTCCCCTGTGCCACACCGCCCCCACCCACCTCTGCAACCCCCACACACACTATTCCCCTGTGCCACACCGCCCCCCACCCATCTCTGCACTGCCCCCACCCACGCTAGTCCCTTGCGCCACACCGCCCCCCACCCACCTCTGCAACGCCCCCCCCCAAACACACACTATCCCTCTGCACCCTCCCCCCACCTCCGCCCGCCATCTGCCCTGGGACCCCCACACTAGTACCGCCCCACCCACCCGTGCGCCATCCCCAACACTGTACCCCCTTCGCCCTGGGCCCCCACGTTATTACCGCGTGCAGCCTCCCGCTCCTTCCTGCCAGTTAGGAAACCCTCCTACTCACCCTGCACCGGGAAGCCCGCCCCAGACGCGTCTCTCCGCCCCTGCGGCTCCCCGCACCCCGACTACTCACGGGTCCCGCGCACGCTCCCGGCGGCGGCCGCGCCAGAGACTCTGTCAGAGCCTGGCTCAAGGACTCGCGGCGGCGCGGGCCTGACGCGAATCCTGCGCGCCCGTCTCCATGGTGCGGAGCGCACGCCGCCCCTCCTGCTGTGCAACCGCCACCCCATCCCCATCCCCCTCCCCCTCCGCCGAAAGCACCCCCAGCCCTCCACACACACACTCAGAGTGACACCCCATTCTAACCCCGCCCCCGACCACCAAGCCCCCCCACAGTGACGCCCCATTCTAACCCCGCCACCGACCACCAAGCCCCCCCACAGTCACACCCCATTCTAACCCCGCCCCCCGACCACCAAGCCCCCCCACAGTCACACCCCATTCTAACCCCGCCCCCGACCACCAAGCCCCCCCACAGTGACACCCCATTCTAACCCCGCCCCCGACCACCAAGCCCCCCCACAGTGACACCCCATTCTAACCCCGCCCCCCGACCACCAAGCCCCCCCCACAGTCACACCCCATTCTAACCCCGCCCCCGACCACCAAGCCCCCCCCACAGTGACACCCCATTCTAACCCCGCCACCGACCACCAAGCCCCCCCACAGTCACACCCCATTCTAACCCCGCCCCCGACCACCAAGCCCCCCCACAGTGACACCCCATTCTAACCCCGCCACCGACCACCAAGCCCCCCCACAGTCACACCCCATTCTAACCCCGCCCCCGACCACCAAGCCCCCCCCACAGTGACGCCCCATTCTAACCCCGTCCCCGACCACCAAGCCCCCCCCCACAGTGACGCCCCATTCTAACCCCGCCCCCCGACCACCAAGCCCCCCCCACAGTGACGCCCCCATTCTAACCCCGCCCCCGACCACCAAGCCCCCCCCACAGTCACGCCCCATTCTAACCCCGCCCCCCGACCACCAAGCCCCCCCCACAGTCACACCCCATGCTAATCCCGCCCCCGACCACCAAGCCCCCCCACAGTGACACCCCATTCTAACCCCGCCCCCCACCACCAAGCCCCCCCACAGTGACGCCCCATTCTAACCCCGCCCCCGACCACCAAGCCCCCCACAGTGACGCCCCATTCTAACCCCGCCACCGACCACCAAGCCCCCCCCCACAGTGACGCCCCATTCTAACCCCGGCCACCGACCACCAAGCCCCCCCACAGTGACGCCCCATTCTAACCCCGCCCCCCGACCACCAAGCCCCCCCACAGTGACGCCCCATTCTAACCCCGCCCCCGACCACCAAGCCCCCCCACAGTGACGCCCCATTCTAACCCCGCCCCCGACCACCAAGCCCCCCCACAGTGACGCCCCATTCTAACCCCGCCCCCGACCACCAAGCCCCCCACAGTGACGCCCCATTCTAACCCCCGCCCCCCGACCACCAAGCCCCCCCCACAGTGACGCCCCATTCTAACCCCGCCCCCCACCACCAAGCCCCCCCACAGTGACGCCCCCATTCTAACCCCGCCCCCCACCACCAAGCCCCCCCCACAGTGACGCCCCCATTCTAACCCCGCCCCCCAGCACCTTCACCCCCCCGCCGAGCACCAAGCCCCCCCACAGTGACACCCCATTCTAACCCTGCCCCCCAGCACCTTCACCCCCTGCCGAGCACCAAGCCCCCCCACAGTGACGCCCCATTCTAACCCCGCCCCCACTTCACCCCCCCGAGCACCAAGCCCCCCCACAGTGACGCCCCATTCTAACCCCACCCCCCACCACCTCACTCCCCTCCAGCACCAAGCCCCCCCCCACAGTGACACCTGACCTCTAACCCCACCCCCAGGCAGCCCCAGCACCTCCACCCCTTGTGCATCCCCAGCCCCGCACTGAACCCACCTGTCACTGCACTTCCAACCTCCCTCCTCACCCCAACAACTTCCACCCTCCAGCCCCGCACTGATCCCTACCTGTCACTGCACTTCCAACCCCACCCCAAACACTAGCACCTCCAACCTCCCCACCCCAACACCTTAAACCCCCCAGCTCCACACTCACCCCGCCTGTCACTGCACTTCCACCACCCTATACACACCTCAGCTCCTCCAATCCTCTAGTCCTGCATTGACCCATCACTGCACCTCCAATCTCACACACACACACAACAGCAGCTCCAACACCCCATTCCAACACTAATACACCCACACACACACACCCCTGTAGCCCCTTCAAAGCATCTCCATCCAACTATACCAACTCCCTCCCCCCCCCCGCCAAAAAAACCACCTCCAATCCTGCACCATATCAGCAAGCAATCCCCACACACAACAGTATATCCAGCCCTCTTAGAAACATAGAATCATAGAATATTAGGGTTGGAAGAGACCTCAGGAGGTCATCTAGTCCAACCCCCTGCTCAAAGCAGGACCAATCCCAACTAAATCATCTCAGCCAAGGCTTTGTTAAGCCGGGCCTTAAAAACCCCTAAGGATGGAGATTCCATTACCTCCCTAGGTAACCCATTCCAGTGCTTCACCACCCTCCGAGGAAATAATGTTTCCTGATATCCAACCTAGACTTCCCCCACTGCAACTTGAGACCATTACTCCTCGTTCTGTCATCTGCTATCACGGAGAACAGCCTAGCTCCATCCCCTTTGGAACCACCTTTCAGGTAGTTGAAGGCTGCTATCAAATCCCCCCTCACTCTTCCCTTCTGCAGACTAAATAACCCCAGTTCCCTCAGCATCATCTTGTAAGTCAGGCCCCTAATCATTTTCGTTGCCCTCCACTGGACTCTCTCCAATTTGTCCACATCTCTTCTGTAGTGGGGGACCAAAACTGGACACAATACTCCGGGTGTGGCCTCACCAGTGCCGAATAGAGGGGAATAATCATTTCTCTCGATCTGCTGGCAATGCTCTTACTAATACAGCCCAATATGCCGTTAGCCTTCTTGGCAACAAGAGCACACTGCTGACTCATATCTAGCTTCTCATCCACTGTAATCTCCAGGTCTTTTTCTGCAGAACTGCTGCTTAGCCAGTTGGTCCCCAGCCTGTAGCGGTGCATGAGATTCTTCCTTCCTAAGTGCAGGACTCTGCACTTGTCCTTGTCGAACCTCATAAGATTTCTTTTGGCCCAGTCCTCCAGACTCTAGGTCACTCTGGACCCTATCCCTACCCTCCAGTGTATTTATCTCTCCCCTCAGCTTAGTGTCATCTGCGAACTTGCTGAGGGTGCAATTCATCCCATCATCCAGA